ATTGCTCAAAGTCACAAGCATGTGGGGGGCAGAATTGAAAGACTTGTGGTTCATTGCAGCATTGTTCACAATAGCCAAAAGACGGGGACAGCACAAATGTCCATCGCCTCATGAATGGAGAAATAAAATGTACTATGTTTTTATAGTCAAGTATTCGTCCAAAAAAAGGAGTGAAGTACTGTTACAAGTAGATGAACCTTGAAAACGTTATGCTGAGCAAAAGAGCCCAGACACAAAAGGTCACACACTCTTTATGATTTCATTTATATGAAATGTCTAAAACAGGCAAATATATAGAGATACGAAGCAGATTGGTGGTTGCCAGGGGCTGGAAGAGGGGAGAGTGAGTAAAAACTAATAGGTATGGAGTTTCCTTTTGGGATGATGAAAATGGCTGGAACTACATAATGGTGGTGGTTGCATGTTGTGAAGGAATTAAATGCCACTAAAGTTTACACTTTAAAATGGTTAAAATGATGTATTTTATATTAAGTGAATTTTGTCACAATAAAAAAAAGGAGCGGGGGAGGTTGTTTGAGACCATAGCAGATGCCCATGAGCTGGGCCTAATGTCTCTTCCTCAAGCATAGCTGCTGGCCCTGCTTCCTGTTGCCGACCTGCCCGGCCCGGGCCATGGTGGAGGAGCCCGCGGCACCGCTCACTGTCAGGGAGCCCACAGTCCAGTAGAAAAGGGCTGCGCCCCCTCAGGAGGCAGGATTCCCGGCAGCCAGGCCTGCCTCTTGCCGTGTCCTCTGCTGAGGCCTAGCACCCGTTGCTTCCCATCCCACTAACCAGCCTGCTTCCAATTAGTGCCAAATGTTCCATACATCTCAGGCCTCCATGCCTGGCTCTTGCTATTCGCTCTATGCAGGAAGGTCTTTCCCTCGTGACCCCTCATTTCCCTGAAACATCCTTTAGGAACCAGCTCCTGTCTTCCCCTTGGAGAAGACTTCCTCCACCCCTCACCACAAGCTGAGCTGAGTCCATCCCAAGGTGTCCATGCATGTGTCAATTAAAGCAGATGTGGGTGCATGATATTTGCACATTTGTCGCACCGGGAGGATTGGGAGCTGTGGAGGGAGGGGCCTGGATTGTTTGTCACTGTATTCTAAGACCGCGCTGGTGCCTTGTTCATAGGGGGTGCTCAGCAAATGCTTGTTGAATGAAGCAGTGGCCTTGGAAAGGTTCTCTTTCCTCCCAGACATTCCGCATCATTGAGGGAGGGACAGGCTAGGTGATGGCCCTGCATCTCCAGGGTTTTCTGGTTCAAAGGGCAGCAGTGGGGGCCACTCCAACAAGAAGCTGCCTGTATCTTGGCCAGTTTTCTGCTTTTTTGCCCACTCACTGGAGTGGAGAAGGAGATAGAAGGGGACTGCAGCAATCCACCGCAGACAGCTAGTTCTGCTCTTGGTGAGGAAGGACGGCAGTGCCCAGAGACTTCTCCTTCTCCATGTAGCCTGAATGGACCATCTCTTCTCTTGGGGAATCTAATTAAAACCCTCCCCTAAGCAGCCTAGGCATGGGGGTTTGGGCTGACGGGGGTTTGGAGTCCTTTGATTGCAGGACCGAGCAGCAGGTTCTTGCTCCATGTTCCTCTACAAATGAGAGGTGCTACTCTTTCTGCTTTTCTGATTATGAAATTAGTCATTTTCTAGGAAGCTTATTTATAGAGTCCTCTGAACGCATGCAGCACCAAGCTATTCTGAACACGGCTTGGGGCCAGGGAGGCTTAAGGTGCAACAGCATCTGTGAGTCACTCCTGGGGCCCCTCCCAGAGGTGTCTGGATACTTTGGTTACCTTTCTGCACCCAGCCAGAAGCCAGCCCTCACGGATTGTCCTCGGGCTGGGGCGCTCTTTAGGGAACACAGAAAGCTCTTTCTCAGGGTGGGGAGATTGTGGATAGGCATTCTTGATCCCAACTTCCGTGGCCACGATGTACAACCTGGGGCAAGTCAGACCCCCGTTGTGTGCTTCAGTTTCCTCCTCTGCAAAATCAGTCCTCCAGATATGTGGTTCTGTGACTGCTCTTGACAGCAGCCCTGGAGGAGGGTTCCAGGAGGCTTAACAAAGACCTGCCCACCAGGCCCTGGCTGGATAGGGCAGTTGGTTAGAGCATCATCTCAATACGCCAAGGCTGTGGATTCAGTCTCCAGTTAGGGCACATGCAAGAATCAACCAGTGAATGCATAACTAAGTGGAACAACAAATCAATGTTTCTTTCTCTGAAATCAATAAATAAAAAGAAAAGAAACTTAAAAAAAAAAAAAAGACATGCCCACCAGGCAGCTCCGATTATAGCCTTGTTTGAGGTTCCTGATTTTTTTTCAACATGGCCAGGGCAACATTCATTTATTCAATGAATATTTATTTCATGAACACCTGCTATGAGCCAGGCACTGTGTGAGACTTTAAAAATAAAGCAGAAGTAGTGGTGGTACTTCTACTGGAGGTAGTACTGCCCTCATGTAACTCATGGTCTAACGGTTGAGATAGGTGTCAATCAAATAATGGCATAAATAAAAATAAAATTTCAAATTGTGTCAAGTGCTGTGAGTAAAAAGTACTGAGAAGCAGAGCTGGGGAAGCTTTCCAGGCAGAGAGGAAACCGTGTATAAGTTTATCAGGGAAGAAAAGCCTGTCAGAGTGCAGAGGTCAAGAGGGAAAGGGGCATGAAATAAGGTTGGAAGAATAAACAAGGGTCAGACCATGCTAGATCTGGAAAACTTTGGTAAAGGATTTTTGTCTTTGTTCTAAGTACAGTATGAGGCCATTGAAGCAGTTTTTCAAGGAAGGTTCTATGAGCAGTGTTGAGTTTGGAAAGAGTTGATTCTCGCTAAACCTGCCCCATTCAGTTGTGCAGGTTGTAAACGGCACCACCGCTACAGCCCGACGTGTGCGTTGGAGCATATGGAGACTGTTGTGGAGACCAGCCTGAGTGGACGCCAGGGACCAGTTAAAAGGCTGCCTCGGTCACCTAGGCAGGCGGTGCTGGGCATGGACCGAAGTGCAGGTGGTGGAGGGGGAAGTACGTGCAGGGACTCAGGAGACATTTGAAGGCCCTCTCTGCAGGAGAGCTCGGCTCTGAGGTTTGGGATTCAGTGAGGGAACATGGCAGTGAAGAAAAAAGAAAATTGTGCAGCACCAGTTGCGAGCACATTAACCCAGCTTGTCTGCCCTTTATTACCTCAGGTCTGCAGCCTGACCCGAAAGCAGCCTCAGGACCAGTCCTAGGGGCAGGGTTGCAGGACTGGTGGGCAGAGAGGCAACCGACCTCTTGGATTTCTCCAACGTATTGCATTGGCCAAATATTTCATGTGGTTTTTTTCCATAAAATGAAAGACATATTTTTCATTTTCACCAATAACTTCATCGATTTGGATATTTTGAGTACGTTGACTCTCTTCCACATGGTAGAACATTGATCATTCTCAATTAATGTATTGATTTGACCACTATAAACTTCAGCTGGTCTACCTAACCATGGAGCATTGTCCAGTGAGAAATCTCCAGCATGAAACTTCACAATTTGTGTTTCAGTTGCATTTTTACCTTTCTTGAAATAAAGCAGTCTGCCAAAATGTTGCTTATTTTCTTCCATTTTCAATATTAAAATGGCTACACAAAAATTCACCAATTTTGATCATTTTTTAAAAAATGCATGCTGATGTGACAGCTGTCACAATGCAATCTGGTAGAATTGTTTCGAATGAAGTTCAAGGCAACTAAGTGCTACTACAGCTATCTTCCAGAAAAAACCAAATGAACTTTTTGGCCAACCCAAAAGTATACTGATGAGGCTCTATTAAAGCTTCTTTTGGTTGCCAGCCTCAGAAATCAAATCCCACTAGCTTAAGCTAAAGTGTTGTAATCTATTGGGAGGATTCTGGGACATCTTGTGGCCTTCATGGACACGTTGCCCAGCCGGGACTCAGGATGGGCTGGAACATGGCAGCTTAGAGGCCCCCAGCAGCAGATGTTCTGGCCCTTTTCTCCAGGAGACCGCAGCTGCCATGATTTGGCCCAGCGACCGCAGGCCCTCGGGGGTGCCTCTGACTGACCCAGCATGGTTGGCGCGTCCAGCCATCTTCCACGGGGGTCAGGGCCATGAAGAGCAGGCGGGGCCATTGGAGGCCACCGCATTTCAGGATATTCCTAGAGTCGGGAGCCCCTGTGAGCTATATAGTTGTCCTTAGAGTATGTCTGTCTCTAGACCCTTCAAAGGGTCTGCCTAACCCACAGCGACATTTTCCCAGCTTACTGGGTAAAGGAGAAAAAGGCTAGACCCCACTATAGTTCTGAAAGGTGCCCTGATGGTCTAGAGAGTTTTCTGAGTTCAGAAAGAAAGAAAACATTTAGAATGTGCAAAAAATACATATAGCTACTTCTTCTAGCAGTTTCTGGAGATGAGTCTTGCATACCACTGTCCACTGCCTGAGGTACAGTCCTTGGGGAGCTGGACACAGACTGTGTTACCCAGACCCCTCTCCTTGCTTCCCCCATGCTTTCAACTCTTAAATGGTGCAGGCACAGGAACTGAGAGGCAGGACAGCACCGCAGGGAGCGTGAGCCTGGAGCCTTAGACTATAACTTCCTGCCCAGCTCCACCCTAATGAGCAGAATGACCTTGGGCACGTTATGTAACTTCTCCGAGCCTGTTCAATGATTCCTGTTCATGGGGTCACACTGAAGACTCAGTGCGATAGAGTCTGTAAAGTGTTTCACACATGGTAAGCCCTCCTTAAGTGGTAGAGATGACGATGACGTTGGTCACAGTGATGCTGCTGATGCTGGTTTCACCGGGAAGATACCTGCAGGATTCTCCTCTTCCTGCAGCCTGACCCTTCTATAGGTTGGTCTTTTCTGAAGGTCCCTCTGATGGGGCGGGGTGAGGTTATTCAAAGGGACACAGTGCGAGAAAGGAAGGCCTTTGATGTTTGCTCAGGGTTTTGTCTTGATCCCAGCTCAACAGCATCCTCTCCGGTTTTTCATCCTGCTGCAGGAGGGAGAGAGAGAACCGCGCCGCCGATGACTCCGAGGCTGGGGCCCTGGACATGTGCTGCAGTGAGAGGCCGCCGGGTGAGTCTTCCCAGCACCCAGGCGCCCCCGCCCCCTGGAGTTCCAGATGGAGGGAGAGAGCCCCAGATGACACGGGCTGGAGTAGAGCCTGGTTAGCTGTGAACTTGCTTGAGAGGAGTGACTCAGCTGGTCCATAGATCTTCATTTAAATGGGGATTTGTTTTTCTAATGCCTGATGTCTCTCTAGCCTGTTATCATTTGGAGCTGCTCAAGGCTCCCATGGAGAGAAGAGCGGGTAACTGAGGGTGTGCTGGGAGGGTGGAGAGAAGGGTGAAGAGCTGGGGAGTCCAGGGTTGATCAGGATATGACCACTGACCAGTAGTGTGCTGGGCTGATTTCAGGAGGTAAGATCAGGAAACAAAATCTCACTGAGCATGAACCCAAGGTGGGGTGGAGAATGTAGAGAAACTACCTGCGAGAAGCCTGGTGTGGATGTGAAATTGTGCTGCTTGTGTCTGGTTGACCACACTTGTCGGGGTGGGGACGGTGCTGGCTGTCTGAACCACGGACCATATCACCACAGAGATACTACCAAGGCGCTCCTGCCCATGGGGGCAGATGTCCCAGTCATAGCGCAGATACCCAAGTCGTGACAAACAGCCTTGGAAGGAATAGAGAGAAGGAAGGTAGGGGAAGATGTTAGTGGGGTTTTATTCTTTTCAGAAAAAATTGTATTGGTTTTTCTTTCTTCTTTTGCCCATTGTAGAAATGTTAGAAAATAAAGACAAGTGAAAAAAAAAGAAAAATTACCATAATCCTATAGCACAGCATACTTTTTCATCTCTCTCCTTCCAGATGTTTTTGTTAAAAAAAAAAAAAAAAAAAGCAGCCATTTGATTTCTAATATTGAAGTTCCAAACCTGTAGCTTGTCAGAAGTCTCATGATTGGCTAGGAACGTTAGAATGGAGTCTTCAGTGACACTCTTTAAGATAGACATTTAAACAACTAGGTATGCCTCTAAAGCGATGACTTTAAAATAAGCAGTTATTTTAGCAGTGACCAGTTTGGCACAATTGGTTGGAGCTTCATCCTATAACCAAAAGGCCACGGGTTCAATTCCTCGTCAGTGTACCTACTTAGGTTGTGGGTTCTGTCCCAGTCTGGGCACATACTGGGCACATACTGGGCTCATATGACAGGCGACCAGTGGATTCTTCTCTCTCACACCAATGTTTCTCTCTCTCTGTCCCCCCTCTCTTCCGCACCTCCCTCTCTCTCTAAAAAGCAATGAAAAAATGTCCTCAGGTGAGGATTAAAAAAAAAAGTAAGCAGTTATTTTATTCACACCATGAGTCATGCCCCTGCTACTGCTGAAGCTCCTCAGGTGAGCATTGAGCCTCATAGTGCAACTCACACTTCATCCAGTACGGGTGCCATTGCTCAAAACACTTTGGACGGCCTGTGAGGATGGTCTTAGTGTTGTTCACGAGGACCTGAAACATCTAGTTTGAAGAAGAGGATTCTTCAAAGGGATGTGAGCACTGTCTGCAACTATCTGAAAGACTGCCTTGCAAAGGAGGCAGCCTATTCATTCTGTGTATACCTTAGGAAGATGGCATAAACCCAACACACAGAAACCAAAGAGAGGCCTGTTGGCCCACAAGGTGCAGAACCTTCTTTCTGACTCTAAAAGATGTCCACAGAGCTTGATAATTCAAGAGGAAGAAAATGAGTGTTTCATCACTGGAGGCATTCAAGTAATTTCTGGATAGACATTGGAGAGGAAATTTCCACGAGGGTGGGAGGTCGAGATGACATCAAAAGTCCCTTTCAACTACTAAACAGCTCTGTGACTCAGCTATGAGTCATAGAATTCGGAGATGACTCTACAACCAGGGATGGCCCCACTGGCTAGGGAAAATAACCATGAAAAACAGGACACGATGTTCAGGAGTCCAAAGAATAGCATGGGGAGGAGGAAAGAGAATGAGATTTGGCCTCTGAGTCTGGTTTTTCTGTTTACAGGCTGTGTGTTAATGTACATGTTGCTTAACCTTGCTGGTCCTGTAGTACTTCATTTGTAAGTGAAGACAACGACAAAATGGTTATTTGTCCTCACAAAGATTAGATAATCTCAAGCACTTATTAACAAATATTTATTGAGTACCTACTATGTGTCAGGTACTGTCGTGGGTGCTAGGGATAATAGTAGTGAATCAAGCACGCATAGTTCCTGCCCTGCTTTCAGTTGCTCCTGGAAAATGGAATGAAGCCAGAGCAGAGAAGCTATGGTAATAAGGATGTTTCATTCCACCCTTCTCTTCCATTCCTCCCTGAAAGCCAGCAACTAAGATAGAATGGAAGAAGCATTGGTTGTCTCCATTGGAGCTGGTACATTGCCTTCCTTGTGCTGTGTGCACTCTTCCAAACGCTGCTACATGTTTATGGCATGGAATCCTCTCCAATAACCTAGGAAGGCAGCACCATTTGCTATCCCCATCTTACATATGGGAGGACCAAGGCCCAGGGAGGTTAAGGAATCTGTCCAGGTCACTTAGCTAGTGTTTGGTAGATAAGAATTGACTCCAGACAGTGTCTTCAGAGCTCATACTCCTGGCCACTAACTACCCCATCGTGCTTCCATTGTCACCATGGAGCCACCATCATCTCCTGCAACCTTGTAGGTTGAGGCCAGAAGAACTAAGGGCTGTCTATCCCCAGGGAGGAGTTTGGAGGAGATGGTGATGTCACTGTGCATGTCCCTATCTGTGTCCTTCCTCTGGAAAGTCCTGACTTCCAGAGGCCAGGCAAGTTGCGTGCCCCTATAGACCCCCACGATGCCATCTTGATGTGTTTATTGAAGAAACTTTTTGCCTGTTTCCTCTATGGGACCATGAGCTCCTTGAAGGCAAGTACCTCTCTATTTCATCCTCTATGTCCATTCATTCACTGACTGTTCATTGAGCATCTGCATGTGTTGAGCACTCTTGTAAGCACTGAAGAGTCAACAGTGCATAAAACTGAGAATTTTTCCATCCTCACAGAACAGTGTTGTGTACTGGTTAACAGCAGGGACTCTTGACCAGGCTTGGCTCCACAGCTTACCATGGGGGGATCATGGGCAAGTTATTTAACCTTTCTGTGCATCCCATTTACAATATGGCAAAAATAATATACACTGCCATGTAGAGTTGTTGGAGGATTAAACGAAGTCATAGAGAAATTAGAGCAGCATTTGGTACATATCAAGTGCTGCACAGGCATTTGCAATTAAGGGAAAGAAAAACAAATAAAGTAAGTAAAATATATGGCGTAGTAGATAGTGATAAGCGCTCTGGAGAAAAGGCCAAGAAGCAGAGGATGGGAAAGGAATGGAGGGTGGTTCTGGAACCTGGTGAGGAGTAGATTTCCACAAATGTTGATTAGCTGAAACCACTGACCTGAACTTCAACTTGGACATAAAAGGAGATGGCAGTATAAAGGCCAAGAGAATTGGGGCGCTGGCCCTTTAGAATGAGCCCCTGGGCACTGCAAGCAATTGCATAATGATGTAAAAATACAGCCCTCAAGTAATCTCTCCCCCTGCCAGCTGTCTTCCCAGCCAGGCAAGACCAGAGGCGAGGCAGAGAGGGGGCCAGCCATGCCTGGTGACTCACTTATTCCTACGCGCACCACATTGCCAGGCTGGGGCAACATGGCCAGCACTCCTGGCCACGGTCATCTGGACCTGAGCCATCGCCGAACAGGTCAGCGGTCCTCGCAGATTGAGATTTCCAGGCGAAAGTATCCTCAGGCATCTCCAGCACCGCGGGCAACCCACAGCTGCCCCAGGGACAGGCAGGCTTGCTCACGGCCCTGGGGCGCCGCATGCATGGGCTCACACACTCATCTATGTGTTCTCCCTTGTCACCGCCTCATGTCACATACTCCCGTGCACATAGCCACACATAGCCGGGCACGCGCCCTGTCTCTCTGTCCAGCAGAGCCCTGTAGAGGCTCACGCACCTACCAGTCTTCTTCCTCTCGCGCACTCAGGCTGTCTTAGCCCCATGGCTCCATCATGCCCCTCCTTCCACTAGACATGCTTTTAGAGATGGACAGACTCGCTTGCTCTCTCCTTCCCTCTTTAGGTCTCTCTCTCCCCCACATCACACCCTTTCTCACGCACACATACGGACAAGCAGGCGCCTTCCCTCCCATTCTCTACCCCTTCCCAGGCCCTCAGTTATGCGTGGTTCCCAGGTACTGTCGCAGGCGCAGAGTCTGCACCTGGGTGCGCGCTCCACTCCATGCCCATGCACACATTTATTTTTCTTCTCCCCTCATGCACATATTCTTTTTCACATGGCCACCCATGGCCCTTTTCTTCTTTTTCACCCTCCCTTACTCGCTCACTTACTTGCTCACTGTCACCGAAACACATTTATACATTCCAACTCACACTCCCCCTCTTCTGCGCGTAGGTGTTCACATTTGCGAGAAACCAGGCAACCCTGCTGATGCTGGGGCCTCCGCTCCTTCCCCAGCCAGCACCGATGGGCACCTAGCTGGGGACCAGCAGCTTCTTCGGGGGTACAGGGCAGAGGAGGGAGGGAGGTAAACAGTAGGCACTAGGGATGGCACGACATCACCAAGTGTCGTTCTATGTCTCCAGTGGGCAGGCTCACAGGACTGAAGCCAGAATGCAAATGGGGCCCCAAGTGGTGCATCACTCCGCTGCGCAGTCCTACACTGCGAGGGCCCTTGTGTGCATGCACGCGGGCATGTCAGTCTGTGTGTCTAAGCGTGGTCTGCACTCCGCCCCAACAGCTGTTCCTTGGCCACCCCTCACACCAAAAGAGCCCCAAGCAAGAGGCCGTGTCCACCTGCAGAAGGGCGTACCGGCACCCGTGCAGGCTCCGGGCCACTTGGGCAAGCAGCTCTGGAGTCCTAGTAGCCAGAGCGTGGCCAGGAAGGGGGCCTGAACACACCTCCTGCACCCACCGGGAGCAGCACAGCCAGAGAAGAGGGACCCCAGGTCTAAAGACAACACTGCCCTTGGGAATAGGGTGTTCCCACA